GGCAGCAGCACTGCACAGTGGGAAACTGCACTCCTGTTTGCCTGCCCAGATGCTGTTGCAGATTCTCCATCTCCACTTACCTTGGACTGCTTTGGTTCCTGGCAAGGGAAAACTGTTTCCATGAGAGGTGGAACTAGAGGAATCCCTCCCTGTGACTCAGCTTCCATTCAGATGGACATGCACAGTCTCACCTCACTTGTGACCCACAAACTACAGGAGCAGTCCTTTGCTGCAAAGCCAAATACTGTTTACTCTGCTTGCTGCTTTCTCCTTTTGCTGTAACAAACTTTATTTATTTCCATAAACAATTCATTTTATGTCTCTTGATCTTTACTGATTTTACTAAACTCTGTATTTCCTATTTACTTTCCTTTTATTTTTCCCCTTCATTACTACTTCCTTCAATCTTTGTTCTATTCACTCCTTCTCTCCCAAGTACCCATTCTGCAAAAATTCTTGGTCCATATCCCACCCACAGGCCTGGAGAAGCAGCCATTCTGAAAATATTATGTGTGCAAACCAGTTTCTGCAAACTCTGCCCATCTCACTTATAATAAGATAATAAAAAATAGGATTTTAGGTCCTGACAGCATTGTCTGTAGATACTTTGATGGATCTGCAAGCATGACCTAATTGCTTTGCAAATGTAGAAACTCTTACTCTAGTGACACAGACTAGACTTGTAGAATCTGCAGCAGTGGAGATTCTCCCTACCTGGAGAGGGCAATTCTTGTCCTGCTTGGCATTAAAGAGAGAACATTTTGCAGCTTACCCTCAATCAGTGAATAATTCCTAAGTCAGGGGTCAATTAAAAAAATCCTGCCACATGATGACCTTTGGCTCTTTGTACTTCAATGCACTGCTGCCTTTCTTGATTCCAATAGCTAAAAAAAAATAAATAGACAACTATCACAGCCCCTAGTAAGTATTCAATGAAGCTACAGAGAATAAAACAGAGCTGGAGTCTAAGAAGCTTGGACAGCTTTAACAGTCTCTCTTTAGCATGTGGTAAACCCACAGCAGGATGTCTCTGGGATGAGACAGAGCACTCATCTCTATGTAGATATGAGCAAAATCTGTTGACATTTCCCACTGTGATGTATTTTTAGCATGGGGCCTTGTGCTACAAAGTCAGTTCCACTGCACTTCTCTGCACACACTTACAAGATGAACATGCACTCAATGCTGCCTGGTTTATCTCCTTTCAGAGGGAGTGGTGCAGGACCTCAGGGGTTTGTGCAATGAAAATCTATCAATACTATTTTGAAATATATTCCCCTTGTCAGGCATGTTAGATAAAACAAAGGAGGAGGGGCAGATGCTTAGGAGGATTTTCTCTTTACTAAAACATTTATCCCTTTTCTAACATTTGAGAGAAGTCTTAATCTCAGCACTACTATGACAGACAGGTACCACAACAGTCAGAACCATACTGTCCTGTTATAAAACCAACTTAAAAAGCAGAACATCCTGTAGTTTCATTTTCTTTCCACAGAGGACATTTCTGTATCTACAGCACACCAAAATTTCTGTACCACCACTGACACACTTAACATCAGAAGACAGTTTTACTGGCAAATTGGGTCGTCATTGATTTCATTTTATTAAAACAATGTTGCTGCTACATTCTGTCTTCAGTCATGGGGAAGTGACAGAAAAACCTGAGCACTGGGGAAATGTGGTAGCTGTATTTAACATGTGAGGGATCAACTGGGGTTATTACAACAAATAATTTCAAGTATGACAACTGTGAAGAAAAGACGAAAAGAAGGGAAACAGAATTTTATCCTCAAAATAACTTTAAGTAATTTGTTTTCCTATCCTAATAGCTTGCATATTGTGTGCATGTTTAGACTGTAAATTATAACTCTGAATTAACCTTCTTGTTTTCCATTCTTTGGTTATTTGCCTTTTCCAGCGTCAGCTTTTTCCAGAAATTCACCTTCTCTTCTTTCAACTTCCTGGCTTTCTTTTGTTTTAGATTTATCTGCAAGTATTCTTCATTTAGGTTGTAAGATGGCCATTCAACCAAACCCTCTCCATTAGGATTTCTGTAAACAGCAAGAAAGAAAGAAAGAGTGAATGCCCTTTTCAGGCACAGGGAAGTTCAATCCCAGAAGTCAGCACAGAGCACTAATGTCTCATGACTCTCATGATTCTTACCCATTTCGAGCAAAGTTAGCCCAGTACTTCATCAGAGTTCTACTGAGGTTCTTTTCTTCCTCTGTAACTTCACCTGAAAGGCAAAATACAAAGTTATTATGTGTGGCAAAATCAAGACATTACTACTACAGGGTAGCATTTCTGTCTGTGAAAATGCTGCAACAACTTCTCAATTGCAACAGAGACACGACACCTGCAAAATGTTAGTAATGCAGCATCACGAGATTTCAGCACTTCCTGAGTGACAAAATTATCCTTATTCTACAATCAGGGAATTTGGGAACAAGGAAACAAGGGGATGTGCCTGTAGCTTTCCCAGAAACCAGAAGCAGAACCAAAAAACCCCATGTGTTCTGCCAGTACAACTCAAGAAATGGGCCACATGGTTTAGCTTCCTGGACCTCATTCCAGCTTTGTGGGACTGAAATCCTCCCTACTATTCAGAGCATGATGAGGCAAAGACTTCTTCATTCTGATATGAGGTGATGTCATTTCTCAGCACTTCAAGAATATTCATTTATATCCAGTGACACATAAGCCCACTGTATCACCAGGGGAAAATAATTGCAGTGTGTTATTAATTATAAGTGCATCTCCACACATTAAGAAAAATATTTGTTATCTTATTGCCCTCAGTAAATTCAGACAAATAGGAAATGAACTGTACAGTGTTTCCTAGTGTAGCAAATATGCAAGTAAAAAAATAAATATAAAATATAAGCAAATCAAAAGGCTCTAGTAACAGATTAACAAAGGGTTTTACAACATAGCTGGATTGCTCCAAAGTTCAATGGAGTAAAAGAAAGCACTTTCAATTATGTAAGCTTTGAAACAGACTATGAACTACTGCTCAAATGGCAAAAATAACAGCAGAAAAAATTGTGAATTCACTTAAAATAAGTAGAATTTCTGTGTTTCTCTGTCAAAATAAGATCTGTCCTAATTGGTTTCATGGGAAAGAAAATACACCATCCTGAGTATTATTGTTTTAGGCATATATAATTAAAGCATATTGCTGGATTCACAATATTCCTTAGGATGTGGCATCGTGTATCTTAACTGTTCAGTGATTGGCAAATTCATTTGGAATGGATCAATGTGGGATTCTGCCTGAAGGAACTTCCCAAATCTCATGAGAATGTTAGGACTACACCCTTAATCCTCCTGCAATGGACTGGTTCCATTTTGAATAAAATGCTTATGTATTAATTGAGTCATGGGGCAAAATAGTCTTTAATCTAAGTATTAGATCTTCCTGCAGAAAATGAAACACTGCAGTCCCAAGCTTTGCTCTGAATACAACTGCAACAGTATCTGCAAGAGAGACCAAGTCCCCCATCCCCTGAAGCCTGACAGCCCCTGGGGTTTCCTGGGAAGGAGGAGACACTACCTTGAACTCCTCAGGAAAAGAAGATATCTAGATTTCCTGCTGCCCAAGCACTCTGCCAATCCCCTTCAAGCTTAATTGATCTTTCCTTCAGTTTATTTTTCAGCCAAAGCTATTTGGCAAATTCATGCACAATGCTGGTCTAATGGCAGTGAGTTTTTTAGCAAATGTCCTATTGGCTAAATTGTTAACAATATGTACAACTTACTGTGCTTCACAATGAGCAAACTGTACCTGACAGATTGGGGAAGACAAATAGTGTAAAACAAATTCTACAGGAGAAAGAGTCATGCTTTGGTCTCACTGTTAAGAGAGGCACTTTAGTCTGATTAAAATATGTAATAATGCCAGTTACAAGACTAATTTCTATGTGAACATTTATGACTCTTTCTTACTGCACAGCTGAATTTCTCCTGCCAGAAAGGGCCCTCCAAAGACAAAGCCAACTTCATCCCCATGGTCAGCCTTCACATACTCTGGTTTGCTGTCCCAGTGTGAACTGGGGCGGTGCTGAAACTCAAAGAAGTAGGTAGGGGCTCCAGACTCTGGAAAATGTAACATTTAGAGAGTTAAAGAGATGCATAAAGTACAGTTGACATCAGCTGTTTAAAATACCACTTTAAACATGCCCAAAGCTTTATACTGGCCACATTTCTAATGTAATGTCACATTCAAATAGGTACATTTTTAATTCAAAATTAAAAACTCACACAAAAAAAAAAAGAGTCGAGGCTCACAACAGGAAAACTTACAGAAACCACAATAACACCAAATTATTTCCAGTTCTGGGTATCTTGGCAGGGTTTGTCAAGATTTTTTGAAATCTTCAGACCACAGAGCTGCTGACTTCTGAAGTAGCTGTGGGCCAAAGGGCAAAGGTTGCTTTGATATATTTTAATTTTTAAGCCTGTATAGTTCAGTTAGCAAACATTTATCTGTGTTATCCCGTTCTGGTCTCAATATATTGTGATTATGAGCACAGTGCAAGACACTAGGACAAAGATGAAGGACCACACACAACCCTACAGACCTATATCACTCTCCATCCTCAAGTTCCCAGTAGGAATCTCAAGATGGGTTGCCTACACATGACAGGATTTGTGTCTACATCATTTGATGCAGCATATAGTAAGAGGTTTGAATATCCTCCTGCTGCTCATTAGCTTACCCCTGTGATAATTCAGGGCTTTAATGGCTGGCATGACAAATGCCATATCCCCCAGCAAGTCCAGAAACCGGGCCTGTAGCTCAGCAGGATCCTCTGTGTCTCCCACATATTCATCCACTATCCTGGGCAGAAAATCTGATGGTAAATCCTAAGAGACAAAAGGGAAACAGGAAAACAAACAGACAAATCATCACTGTCTCTATTAGCAGCTAAAAATGTCATTTTTTTAACGTCAGAGATTCTGCAGGGGCACAAAGGTTCAGGGTAGCTCCCATGTTGATGGGAAACAAAACCTATTCAGACTTTTTGGGAGGAAAAAACCCCCCAACACCAACATAAAAAACCAAACAAAACCAAAAACTAACAACAAAAAACAAAAACACCCCCAAACCCCCAAACCAAACCAAACAAAACCAACCAAACCAAAATAAACAAACAAAACCAAAAAAACCACCCTAACCCCCCCCCACTACCTCAGGTCTAATTTGCACCAGATTTATACAGGTTTAAAACTCTACAGGACTCAAAGATCCAGCAATTTTTCCTGATAATACCTCTGGCTTCTGTTTTCTTCAGGAGAAAAGAGGTGGGAATGACAAAAGTAAATTCTCTGAGACCTTGAAAGATTTATGGACTATTAGACTACAGGGCAAGACCAGCTGGATCTCAGAACACTGTGTAGGTTTTTAGTGTTAGAATTTGCTGCTTGGAAGACACACTTTAGGACTGCAAAGTAACTCCTTTAAAAGCTGCTTTTAATTTCATGTAAACACATTGAAAAATCCTGCCTTGAAACAAACCCATCAACCAGATTAGCCATGAGACAGCTGAGCATTAGGGACACTATTACAGTAATCCTACATACAAATAGGTAAGATAAAAATGTTGCTTCAGAAATCTAGAAAGGAAAACATTTCCCCATATCCTGGGCCTGACTCAATCCTATTTCTGGGTAACACCCCAGTCCTGTCAACTTTGCTGGAACTCTCCCCAAAGCATAACATGACCTCAACTCTTAGCAACATTATAACTCAAATCTGTTTTATGCTTGAAAAAGAAAATTCACTTCTCAAATTAAATCAGTGCAACAGTACTTACTACCATTGGTAGAAAAAACTCTAAAGTTGAAGCAATTGATTTTTTATCTCCTGTTTCCCTCAAACCTGGTATTTTTGATTCCTGCACAGGAAAAAAAAAAAAAAGAATGTTATTAGCACCATTCAACTTCATTATTTTTAACATTGGAACTACATTATTCCACTTTACTCTTACTACTGGTGTTTATTTTTTGAAGCATCATAGGCCAAAGTGCAGCACAATGGAGCAGCTGCCTGGAAAAGCCTGTATTTACTGCAGCAAATGTTTCCTTGGTGAAGGTTTCTACATAAACCACTCATGCTAAGCAGTTTATCCTTAAATCAACAGACATTAAGAAACTTGTAAGACTAGAAAGAATTAGGGTAGAATTGAAGCAAAAAGCTTCTTCTGTCTCACAGGGTTATTGGAGATCTTAGAACTCATTGGCAGCCTCTGTGTCTGGTTCAATTGTTTGAGCCCTTTGAAACAAAGGCACTGCTGCTCCTCTTTCACAGCATTACATAAAACAACTCTTCTGACTGAAAAATAAATGAAAACAGATTTTACACTGTTCTTCTTGGACTCAGTACCAGCACACTCCCAGAGACACAGTTGTTACAGGTTCAGATTAACTACACATAACCTGAATACTTGAGAAATGAAAAAAAAAGAGGACAAGAGGGGACACAAATCCATCTCCTGAGCCTTTGTGCAGTGACAACAAATTGCTCATTTTTTTGAGTTACCTATTGAGTTCAGGAAAGAATTTCTGCACAGAGGATGGGCTGGATACCTGCACCATCCCCATACTCTGTCCCCAGAGCAGATTTTCAAAGCAAAGCTTTTTGCACAGTAATAATGGCACACAGGGGAAGCTGTGTCACATTTTTATGTCACATTTATCAACCCTGACTTACTGTGCCTTGTGAGGGAAAGGATTTGGTTTATTTCACTTTAAGTAATGTGCTCTTGAATGTTGCATTCTTTTCCCTCTCTTTGCCTTGATGAGGGATTAAAATTTTAGGATAAGAAAATACTGTACAACGTTGATGTTCCAAGGATACCTGTGGTTCTGGGTCACTACAGAGTCAATGCAAGCAAAGTTTACCTTGTATGTATTTCCAACAATGCAAAGCCTTGTCCTACCAGAAAATACCTTCTCGAGTTGCCTCCACCAGTTAACAAACATTTAAAAAAATTAAGAATAATCATTAAATTACAGATCTGATATTCCAGCCAAATTCATTGTTGGCGACTCCTGTCATAAATGGAACTGCATTAAATTCTTTTCCAGCCAGTATCTCTTCAGGTGACTTGGGAAGAAATACTCCATCCACAAGTATGGGCAGAAATGGTACATTCTGAAGGAGGAGAAAAAAAAATGATCAAATCACTTGTTAATAGTATTCTCAATTCAAATCATATAAGGTGTCCACATTTAATGTTCCAAGTGCAAAAAAAGGGCTTTAAGAAATTTGAGTGTCTACAGCCACTGTAACATAGATCTAGTTTGGCACAAGAGTATAAAATGCAAGTCTGGTTGGGTCAAGGTATGGAGTAATGTGATGGTTTCCTGATTCTGTGCTGCTTCTAACTGACATTAAAATGTATGTAAGTATATGCTCAAGCCTTGCTCACAACTTTCCAGGTGCTGTGACAGAGAGAAATTATGTGATATTTCAACATTTAGGGGGTACTTTGATGAAAGTTCAGAAAAATCAATTTGGAACAGACCAACAATGAACTCTGGTCAGAGGCTGAGCAATGCAAGTGCACCATTAAATACTCTGTAACTCTACATAGAGTCTCACCTACCGTGGTGTTGAAGATTATATGGTCTGCTTCCTGCTTCCTTAAGCAGTTTATCAGGGAGAGGGAACTGCTCGTGTCACACTTAAAGATACTTGCAATTTTCTGAAAATTGTTAGCAAAGACAAGGACTGTTAGCTGTGAGGTGGCCTTGAAGGGATTCATAAACAGAAAATTATTATACACACTACTGTAAATAGTTTTACTTAAGGGCAGATTTAGGTGAGCTTGACAGATCTTCAAATATTTTATTTTACTAGAAATACAGAAATACTACACACAAAGTGAAATCATTCTGGTATACTTCTCTTTCTTGCTAAATTTCCATTCCCTGTTCTACAACATACTTTAATCTAGAGAAAATACAAGATTTTAGCATAAACCAAATAAGGAAAGAAAACTCAGAAAATCAATTTCTGAGATATTTACATTACCACCTGCTGTTGCAGGAAGAGAAATGAAAAGGTACTTATAGAAAGGAATTTTATTTGAAAGTATTGTTTTGTTTCATATTTAACTACTTTACTTCACATAAAATCTCTCCATAAAAGACCACAGTTCAATGAAAACTGAATGCCTCTTTTGGATTCTTATTAAACTTGCCATAATAAATGTCACAGTTAGTCTACAGGGTACGGTGGGTATAAAAATGGACATTTGCCTTGCTTGGCATGTGGGTAACTGAAAATACCCACATCAGCCCACAGCCTATTTCTAACACCAAACAAGATTGAAAATAAACAGGTATGCTGTGAGAATAGACTTGATCAACTTGGTTCCATAATATGCAATGAAATGTTCCCCTTTTTTCTTTTAACCAAATGATCACATATAAACATCCCATTTCAGGTTATAAAGGCTTTAAAATGCAAAAACCCTGAGCCTACCTTAGGATGTATTGAAAGAAGTAAATCTCTACTGGGGGGAAGTAGAATTCCACTCTCTGATATTGCTTTATGAAAGAGACCCTTAGACAAAGGAGATAAAACCTGCCAAGAAGGGAAGAACAAAAATTATTCTACGTTAACATCCTTATCCCATAACTTTGTGCTTGATTAGACTCTTGGATTCAATGGGGAATTACACATTTTTATTTGCTTACAGGGGAAGTCTCCAGACTTAGCACAATGTGCTGTTAATCTTACTGTCAAAAATAAGGTTAAGCATGAAATGTTGCACTAAATGAGTTTTTGAAGATTTTTTTAAAGACTTTACTTTCTAGTTTATCTTCTGTATGCCTACATGTGCAAAAACAGAGCAAGATCCTGCAGATACACCAAAGAGTGTGACAGATCCTGGATCTCCACCAAAGTGTTCAATATTGCCTTGGATCCACTGAAGAGCTGCTACTTGATCCAAATAAGCCCAGTTCCCACGAGCATGTTCATCACCAGTACTGAAAGAAAAGCATTATAAGCCAAGGAAGAGTAATAATACCAGAATAAAGTAAATTTTGTTCAAAGTTCTGAAACAAATCATGGAGGCTTTCAGGTGAATGTCTGTGGGGGTTACCAGATTGGGAGTATGCATTGCCAGTGGTTTATTTCATCATAAATGTTACAACTTAAGTTTTTGTATTATTCTAAATTGGTAGGAGCTAAGAATTAATTTTATAATTTACATATTTGCAGCCATCTGAGTTTTTATAAAGTAATTGCTATGAAAGACAGAAAGGCATAAATCAACTTTTCTTAGCTTTGGTTTTATAGAAAAAGAGGTAGCAGACCTCTGTCCTGTGATTTCTGGTTGGCTGGCTGTAGCTCTTAGAGAATTTTGCTTTCACTCTGTACCCACACTAGTCCTAGCAGGAGTTCTCAACGAGGACTGCAGGGCACAGAGTGAAATGAGGTTAAAACAACACAGAAATCTCACAGGAGATGTTCACAAACTGCGTCCACTATAACCAGCTTACACATCAAGCAAAATTCACTTGAGCCACAGGAAGAAACTACAGCAAGGAGCTCAGTGAGAGGTTGCTGGGGTTAACTTTCTGCATAGAAAATGGGTGGCTATTATTCTAGTTACTAACAGAGGTCACAGCAGAAAGAAGTCATTAGCTGCTGCATGTGCATGAGAAACCATTACATCTCATGTGTTTCCCCAGTTACTTGTCTTTGATCAAACCATTACTTGTTTTGTGTTAAACAGATGGAGACATGCTTAGCAGAAATTCGAGGTGTTGAGAACAGAATTGAGAGGCACCAAAGGCACAACATTACAAATATTCACTAGAAACCATTACAGTGGATAAAAGATAAGATGCACTGAAGTGTCTCACTTAGGAGTACAGATATGGGTAGTATTTGAGACATGCTCTGTGTGACTTGGTGTTAGAAATCAAAATCAGAGGGTGGTTGGCACTGCCCAGGCTCCCCAGGGCAGTGGGCACAGCCCCAAGGCTGCCAGAGCTCCAGGAGGGTTTGGATGATCCTCTGGGGCACAGGGGGTGACTCTTGGGACTGTGTTCTGTGGAGGGCCAGGAGTTGCAATCAATGACCCTGATGGGGCCCTTCCAAGTGAGAACATTCTGTGTGATTGTGTGATTTGGCCCAGGAAGGTGTGTACAGTCCCTGACCCACAGTCACACCTACGCCCCTGACTCACCTCTCCTGTCTGCTCACCCCTACACTGAGGGATCCCTGCCCTCTACTCTGGATCAGTTTTTGCTTTACACACCAATGGATGGAAGTAGAGGCAAGAACAAACATCCTCTCCAGAACCAAATCAGCCCAACTACGATTTCATAGCAGGCTGCAATCAAATGACAATGCAAATGGGATTTACAGACATTTCTTAAGGCTCTGAAGTCCTGATGTCAGTGAATTATGTATATTGAAACTACTGTAACAGTGGGAAGCTGGTATAGAAGTTCAGCTGATTCAGCAAACAAAACTACCATGCTTTAAACATGACAGGAAGTACTTTGTAAAAATGAAATAGGGGATCTTACTTGAAGTATCCAAGGAGTCCAAGTCTGTACTGAATTATTACTACCACAACATTCTCGTAGGCTGACAGTGCTGAACCATCATACCTAGAAGCACCACCAAATATAAAGTTGCCTCCATGGATCCACACCATTACCTTAGGGAAAAAAAAGGGTGTGAGACACTTTTATACACTGGTTTGCACATTCCATTTCAAAAAGGAAAACACCATCAGATAATTAAGAATTCCAAAGCACCAAAACACTGAATTTTAGGTTGCTGGGCTTTGAATTTTACATTTTACATGCTAACATTATTTCTGCTAGTGCAGCATCACATTTTCAAAAGCAATTAAGACTCTTAGGAGCAATCATTAGGTGCAAACTTTGTACTGCACAAGTTTGTACAATGGGTTTACATACAGGTAACTTGTCCTTCTTGCTGGAACCAGCAGGGCTGTAAACATTGAGATACAAACAGTCCTCAGAAGTTCGGAAAGGAATGTGTTTTTCTTTGTAGTTTCTTTCAGCTGTTTTCAACATGGACAGATCTTGAGGACATCTTCACAAAAGAAAGGAAGCACGATTATTAATAATGAAACTGCAACAGCATCAGTGTAATAAGGACAGAGAAAACACTCTTTTGCCCCACAGGCTGAATCCCAATGGGGTGCCTGAACTTTGTGTCACTTATACACAGCTAGAGGTGCACCCTGGAAAAGCAGGACTTGGACTTGAAATACTCCAGTACTGGCAGTGCATCCACTACCAGCTCCCTCCCAGCAATCTGTACCCCAATAAACACAACCCCACCGACCCACAGGAGCAGGGCCTGGATACAGAGGAACTGAACAGCTCTCACAGGGGTGGGTAAGAGGTTGCATCTCTCACATCATTCCAGGGTTCAGGTGGTTCAGGTGGGGAAAACCTCAAGGATCCAACAGGGGCTTTTGCAAAAGGAATTCCAAGGAATGCATTTACGAGTTTGTCTGTCCCCTTTACATCTGTTTGTTTCCCTTTGAGCCGTCCCAGTGCCAGAGTCACTTCTGGCTCAGCACCACTCTGTCCTAAGGAACACACAGGATGGAAAAAAAAATTAAATTGCATCTTTACAGTTATCAGACAGACTTTTCAATGACATATTTTTAACTGTTTAATTTAAAAAATTTCAGCTTATTCCTTTCAAATTTGTTCAGTTTTCATTTTGCTTCTGTGCAATGAAAGACACACCCTGCCAAACCCTCCTGTATCTGCTCTGCCAGTGACACCTGGAACCAGGTAGGACAGAGTTTGGTCACTGTACATAAAGCTAAAAAGCAAATTTCAGAGCAAACAGCAAAACCATTAACATTTCCTAAATTTATCATTCAACAAAATCTTAAAAATATTTAGTTTAGATAATTCAGAAACGTTTTTGCTTTCTACCTTTTGGAGAAGATGGAAAGCTTTCTTTTCATAAAATCATCTCAGAAATGGTTTCATCTCACAAAGCTAGTAATTTTTGCTTCACTAAGATACTTTTGCAGATTGTTACCAAAGCGTAAGAGATTTACTGCCTTTGAAAAATCCCACTTTGAGAATCAACTTCCTCAGCAGCACTAACAACAGACCGTGCACCTCACCTTCTGCTCCGCACCAGAGGAACGCTACGCTACAGAACAAGGAGCCAAGCAGAGCGATCTGGCTTTGAGGAGCCATTTCTCACGCCCGGCGGGGCTCCCGCTGGCTCGCTGGTTCTCTGCGGCAGAGCAGGTACAAAGGTCCGGGCCCGGGGCACTCGGAGCAGGGAGCGCAGCCGAACTGCCCTGACCGCCAACACGCCCCGAAGGCCGAGCCAGCCCCTGGTGCTGCAGCTCAGCCTTACCTGAGCCCGGGAATGGCCCCACGCCGGCTGGGAACAACCAGGGAACTCACCGGAGTTAGGGGCTGCCAGGGCTACAGGCAAAGAAAACAGGGAAGGGCTGAGCAGGTTCCAGAGCTGTCAACAATTAAAAGTCTTTATAAAACCCCTTAAACCAACAAAGACTCCACCAA